ATTTATATTTAATCTGAAAATATCCCAGTTGATAGAAATAATCATTTTCATACTCTGACTGATCAGAACTTACCAGCTTGAATTGCAAGATAGTCGTACAACTCATACAATATGGTTGTTGTAATTTCTTCTTGTTTTTCCTGACAGTACTGAAAAAGGAGGAGGAGGAGGAGGAGGAGGAGGAGGAGGAGGAGGAGGAAAAGAACAGTAAATAGCTCTTTTAAATTATTGAATCATTTTGCATGGTAACAGGAAATACTTTTAGTATTTATTGGTCCCCTTCATAATATCCAAAGTGCAAATACTGTACAAGATTGAACTTAAAAAAGTATAGTTTAGGCATATTACAAAACTACAGAGTTAGCAATTTAAATATAATTCTACATTGGGATTTGTCTTTTTCAGCTACTGTATGTACTGTGGACTAACTTGGAACTACAGCCACAAACAACAGATATTAAGACTGCCAACTCTATTTTAGCTTGCTTTGAAAAGAAATTGATAAAATCCTTGTCAAAATTCTTAGTTTTTATAAATTATTAAAGCATATTTATATAAAAACAAGGATTTAACTCTGCAGAATTACAGATTTATAGCATTTGAATGCTTCTTTATATTAACCTGACAAAAATCATTTAATTCCCATATCAATGAATTATTAAATTATATGTGGAAAATGGAACAGGCTTATTTATACTTTCATCCCTAATATTAAAGGACTAACACACCATGGTTAAGAATTAAATTTCAATGACTCTTAACTTACAACATCTGTGCTTTTTTCACAATCCACGGTCAACAGCTTTACTGTGAATGAAAATAATTAAGTTACTTGCCAAAGCATATACAAAATAGATATTATTCCTATTTTTAACAGTATGTGTGAATTTGACATGTTTCTTGAAAATGGCCATTCTACTGAATAGGCCTTGTGGAATGTGTAGAAACTAAATCTTAAACTGCAACTAATTCCACTAATTTAAAGGAAACTATTCACATACCAATGATACTAAGCAAGCAAATAAGTCATATTCTGTATTCATGTCAAAATAAGGACAGTCACTTACTTAGGTTATCTGGGATCATATTAAAAATGCAATTTCAATTCTTGAATTTTTATGTCTTAAAACATAATAATTTTTGACAGAAACTTATGCTACTGTACTGTAAAAAATATGCATATTGTATTAACAAAAGTTTACAGCTTGTCTAGTCAAAAATGTACTAATACCCACATTAGTTGATTACTGAGACAGTGTCAGCTGTGAACAGCCAAGCCCACACATAAAGTTCAAGCTGTTTTATTATATTCTGCTTATAATACAGGGATCTTCCCAATTTGGCAGGTGTCCCTTGGGAACAATGAAATAAAATTCCAAGGAATTCAGGGAGGACCAGTTCTGTTCCTTTTTAAGATTGCACAATGACTCTAGACTAGCTTTGTGCTTGATTCCTCCTCCCTGCTGGGAGGGTGCCTCCCCACAGATAGATTCTTTATTGACATCAGGGCCCAATCTTGCATTCTTTGCAAAATGGAAATGAATGCTACTTTTTTTTCTTTAAACAGGGGCACTGTTTAAAACTATTTGTACACTTTTTCCTAAAAACTTTTGCAAAAACAAAGTGTTCTTACTGTATGCTCAATAATCATGGACTCTCCTTGTTGAAGTAATTATTAGATTTCTGTAGTAGTGGTTTGATATCCTGAAACAAATATTCAATAAGAGCTACTTAAAACTCTGCTTTCCTATGCAGTCCACTTGAAGTAATATGGGTAAGCACGCATATTAAGCTCTCAAAATGATAACATAAAGTCTCTAAAATAATTGGTATAATAAATAGGAAGATTATTCTAAGCTAATGTTCTGCGAAAAAAAAGCCTAACATCAAAGCTCATATTCATTATTAGCCTTGAAAGGTCTGAAGCCAATTTTACTTGTAAATGCAATATATCCATAAATGGAATAACGAAACTATGATGCAAGGAGGAGGCTAGAATTGAGACTTGAAAAAAAAATGAGACAAAGTATCTTTACAAGAGGGTTAAATACTACACGTACAATTCTCCATGGACTCTTCCAGAAGAGCAGGTCCCATCATCTTGACCCAAAGGATGCCCAAGAAAATTACCAGTAGCACTAAAGTTGCCACCCAGAGGAACCAGGACAAATAAAATTCTAGACTTTTGCCCTTTTTTCCAGGACTCCGGCCTTGATATTTCTGACCTACATATTGCTGAGTCCCGTCCCAACGGGTGCCGAAACTTAAATCTCTTTCTGCTCTTGTCCCCAAGACCGTTTTGGTACTTCTGGAAGCTCCTTCTTTCTCTCCTCCTCTTGGCAGCCTATAGGTTAATTCTTCTCTGCTTCTCTCTGTTACTGAGGGGCTGGGAGCTGTCCATCTCTCGCTTGTGTAACAGCCCCAATTACTCAACCCTCCAGTGCTTTCTCCTGTCCTTGATTTCCAAGAAGGGCTGGGGTTCAGGCTCTGCTCCTTTTCCCACCACTTGCCAGAGCTTAAACCTTCGCTGGAGGGAGCTGGTCTCCATGGGGCACTAGAAGTTAATCTACCTGCCACTGCCCCCCTCTGATAGGGGGATGTAAAGCCCTCATCAGCCTCTAACTGGGTTCTTTTTAAAGCGAATCCAGTACTTGGCCTCCAGGGGCTGCTAGGTGAATCCACCTCTCTAGCCGGCAAGTGGATCCTCTCCGGAGTTAAAGTAGTCTCTGTCGGCCAGTGGTTCCTCTCAGCAAGCCTTCTACTCCCTGTCGCTCCCTCCCTGCGCGACGACTCGTAGTCGTTCGTCTCCTCTTCGTCCTCGCTCTCATCGTCCTCGCTCTCCCTCCTAACCAAGATGTGGGCCCGGGGAGTCGCTTTGGGGCCAATCTGGGCGGCCGCTGCGGGCCTCACGGAGCTACTTGGGCTCGGAGGGACCGCTCTGGAGCTGATGCGGCTCCTAAGTCCGGCCGCCACCTCAGCCCGCAGACGGGTGAGTTTCTTGGCGTAAAGTTTTCGGGTTGAATCGGTAATCGGGCCCGCCTGGTAGCCAAGGGACAGCAGCTCTGCCCGCAACTCGGCATCTGACAGCCCCGTTGCGGCCATAGCCAGAGAGAGAGAGAGAGAAAGAGAGAGAGAAATCGAGACCCTGGACAACCCGGAAGTGGTACCGCCGACCAAGGAAGTACTAGCGCCATCTCGGTAGTGGCAAAGCTTCGAACTGCCGTTTTTACAGAAGTCTAGAGCAGTGTTTCTCAACCTTGACAATTTTAAGGCATGTGGACTTCAACTCCCAGAATTCCACAGCCAGCATTGCTGGCTGTGGAATTCTGGGAGTTGAAGTCCACATGCCTTAAAATTGTCAAGGTTGAGAAACACTGGTCTAGAGGAGTTCCGCCCTGACGTTTTGCGCCGTCATATCAAGAAGGTCAAAATCGGACCGTGCTGGGATGAGAAGCGCCCGTTTGGTTTATAAACTATGTTTTAAAACTTATAAACCCGCCCAAGAGAAACGCACTCTCTTTACATGGCAGATCACGCTGAAGAAGCTTGCTATGTAAACTAAGAAGTTTTAGAAAAAATATCAGTGAAATGTAAAGTTTAAAAGAAGATGGTTAATTTCTATTTATAAATCCAACAGCTAGGTTTCTTATCTGTTCAGTTACATTCATGCGTACGATAGAGTTGCGTTGCACAAAGATTAAGAGTGAAATATAGCATTTATTTACTTAATTACATAATTTATATGCTGCCCTCTAAAAAGTGGGCAGCTTATTATGGGTACTTACACAGGAGCATGTCTATTTCTTACAGAATAAATAAAGATTTAGTTTTAAAGCATTTTATAAAAGGGCTCTTTGTATAGTATAAATGTAGGGAATGCAAGTAATAATTATCAACAATTATCAATTATCAATAATTATGAAATTATCTTTTGTCCACTATTCTGTCCAAAACTATAAATGGTCTTGTAATCTCTCTCTTTTTTGGACATTTTAGCAAATACATATATTTTCCGAGCTTTGAAGTGTAAAATATCTTAGCACAGGATAAGTAAGCTATGAGTAACACTAGATTTTGCTTGCATTTGTGGCATATATTTGAAAACTGACATGAATGTATGCTTACGTATGGAAGGGATATAATGAAAGCTAATAAATTGTTGGACTTTATGAAAGCCTCAGTTGGCCAAAACCATATTGGATGGTGTTGGTCTTTATTTATTGCACTGAACAAAATACAAGAATATTGTATATATGTAAGATTAAGAGAAAGGAGCTGTAATAGATCAAAATGAAGGTAATGATGTAGCGTTAATGAATTTATACAGGGGAGTAAAGATGTAGGTTTAATTATGAATGAAAGACAAATAATATATATTAGAATGAAAGAATTTATGTCATATAGATTGTTGTAGAGGCATCTGAAAATAAGAATGGTGAATTATAGTTACATATTATGTTCCAGTGAATGATGATAATAAAAAAACTAGGGATAAATTTAGAAAAAAAAATGCTGGAAGAAAAGTTATTTGATAAGGTGTCGTGAATATATAGGTACGAACAAGAAGAGTTAGAAAAGGCGATTAAATGAATGAGAATGGTTGATGAAAGATAACTATGTGCCTATAAGGGATATGCTAAGCATCTTTTAGATAAATTTGTCTGGATTCACTCCGAAGGTGGATTCTAGCCTTGAAGCAGGTCTTATGGAGGTGACAATCTTCTTGAGAAAAGGTGGTTCTACCAATCTTTAAAGAAGTGTTGGTTCACTCATTCCTCAAGTAACCATTGTGAGACCCAACCACAATAAACAATTTTTGTTTAATCTCCAGCCTTACCTTACGTTACCTTGGATGAAATGGATTATCTGGGCCCCTTTCAATTGGGATTCAGGCCAGGGCACAGGACTGAAATGGCATTGATTGTATCTGTTCCTGATTGTTCCTGTTCCTGTTCTACTCATCATATCAGATCTGGCAGGAGAGTAACTTTATCTGTTACGTTAAAACATGTCATCGAAACAGAAACTGAATCTTCTTGTGGCATCTGCTTTTAGGAAATTCATCCAACCCCCTAATGATTAGATTGGCCCCAGCTCTTTTGGCCTTGCATTGTTATTCAGCTAGCCATATTAAATTTTTGTGACAAGAGAAGAAACATAAAAATAAGAAAATTCAGCTGACCACTGTTGGGAGAGCTCCTCCTTTCAGTGAAATAGGATGGCTTTTGAAAAGAAGAGGGAAACTCAGAGACTAGAGGTGGATCAAGTAGGAGTTTCTGCCAAGGAATAGGTGTCTAGATCAGGAGCTATAGAGGAAGCTGCAAAATGTTTGCAAAGTTGATTGTCTGTTTTCAAAGATGGCTTAAGATCCCATCTATCAGGGAGAGATGCAGGTGGTATTAGGCTGCAAATGATAGGCTGCAAGTGTGCAACTCATCACATATGAGTGTGTATCTTCTTTGCAGAAGAGGAAGAGTTATTTTGTCACTTTGGTTTAGAGCAGTGTATCACAATATACTTTTGTTTTGTCACAGTATCCATGGAATATTCAGCTTATGGAATATATCTTTTTATCATTGTCATCTCATTTTGTTTTCTTCTGTTCTTTCCTCTTCTTGTGGCATATATATTAATATCCCAAGATGTTATTTAATGAAATAGCTCTATAATGTTTTCTTCCAGCTTGTATCATTCAAATATGCCATTAACTGTTCAATTTGCTACAAATCTAGGAAGAAAGGGGTATGGATTTATAAATTGATTGTGGTATTTTCAGAGTGGAAGGGATACTCCTGTTATACTAAAGATATGACAACCCTGTGATAGAGACAATTGTTTATTATTTTTCAATCCCTGTCATTCTGATTATGCACTCTTTTAAAGACAGAAATGGTATGGCATTGTGTGAAATGTACTGCATATTATACACAGTCAACAGTCAGGAAATTTTATTTTTTAGAAATACAGCTTATAACCCAGTCCAGGGCAAAGTAAGATTTGCAATAGTAAAAAACTTAAACAAGTAAAAATAAATGTAGTTTTAGGACTAACTATATGGGGGAGTGTGGGTTCATTCCAGGTCCCCACCCTTAAATGCCATCTGGTAGGACTGAGGAAGACCTGCTTTTCCCCTAGCACTGGGTCAGGACTGGAAATGGGCCTGGAATTTTAAGTTTTGTGATGGGACTCTGATGGCACTTGTTGGTATGAGAGAGTTTTAATGTGCTGTATTGTTTATCTGTTGTTAAGCTGACCCAGAGTTATTTTCTATATTATGAGTGTCTGTACAAATCCTTTGAATAAATGCAGGAAGCCCTTGGGTTATGACAACAATTGAGGCTGGAATTTCCATTGCTAAGTAATGTGATTGTAGAGTGCAATATTCTATGATCACATCACTTAGTGACAACTGTCCCAGAAATCCAGGTTGCCATTGTACAATAACCATGTGGGTATTCATGTGTGGGAAAAGGTGAGAGTCCAGGAAAGCAAGCCAATAGGTGAGAACTATGGAAGGGCTGGTGGTATGGGGTGCAGGTGGGGTGGAATTGTGGACATGCTCTATGGAGCAAATGGTGATCATGGACCACAAGGATACTGCAATGGCTGCAACTTTGAAGACCAGTTCTGAGCCCTCCCTACTTCAGTGCCAAAAGCATTAAAAGAAACTCAAACTGGATCTTCCAGTTCAGAGAGTGGAGACAGGCCATCAGACTATCAGGCCATTAGGCCAACAGAGTTCAGCAACATCAACTCTATCATTATCCGGAACAGAAAAAGAGCTCTCTCTTCTGGAGAGTTTTAAAAAAGAATAAAGAAATTCCATTTTGCCTTTATTCTTTCCTTATACATTGTACATTGTGGGAGAGACATTCTTTTCAACCAGGTAAAAAAAACCCTCATATCTGGAAAAGGATTGGAGAATCAGAAAAAAAATATAGCAAATGAAGAGGTAGATGTGGATTAGGATCCTTCTGTTGAGTTATTTTATGGATTTCTCTTATTTTGTGCGTTTGTATTCTGAATTTAATTTTATTGTATCTGTATTAAGTGTGTGTGTGTGTGTGTGTGTAATAAGGACTACCCTACATCCCTGGTGTGTTGTGCAAGTTTCTACTACATATTGTACTTCACCCTGAAAACTCCAAATACATGTCATAATCATGTATTTTTTCAAAAAGTGATTATTGTAAGGGAAAATATAACCTGTTCTCTTCCAAGAATATTTTTTCTCTTCATATAATATGCTATAAATGTAGTGTCAGATATGAATGTAGTGGAGTACAAATGTCGGCATGAAGTAGTATCAGATATTCACCAGACAATGACATTTATTTTGAAAATATCAGTAAAAATCTTGGAGTGGGTTTAGGGAGAAAGATTCATTATAAACAATGTAAGAGGGACTTGTGGAGAATAACACAGATATATTGCTTGATTCTACTGTCTGTTTACAAATCTGATCATCTGTATGGCATTCTGAAAGAAATTCATCTAGATTCCCTTCCTTGATTTCCCACTTAGTATAGATAAAATCTGATTATTTAGTATTGAATTAAGAGGACATATAGGCCTGGACTTTTTTTTCCCTTTGGGGAAGGGATGCAAAGACTCATAATTAATGAAAAAAATGAAGCAGTGATCTGAAAATTAAATTTAGTACATCAGAGTCATAGAGATATCTATAAAAAATAAATGAAAACAGCAGAGATATTGCTGCTTAATATTGGAATTTAATTAAAGATCATGCAGAAATAGTGACTAATGTTTCTCATAATGACTTAATGACTGTTCACTTTCAGTATCATGAATAAGAGGCAGACCTTCCTACAGAAGTGTTGCTGGAGCAAAGAGAGCTACTCTTTGCTCTGACACTTGAGCTCCAACACAACCTTTTAATTTTATGTTTTGACTGGGCCAGGAGGTTGAGCAACCTCGATTCATCATCACCAGAGTGCAGTTTGACTTAAGGTTCATCTCCAGGCTTTGTTAAATGGGTTTGCAGTGAGATAACTATTTCCTGAAGTGATAAATGATGCATATAACCTATCTGCTATGACATCTTTTGATTGCAAACCTATTATATAGCCACTTACTACAAGCCAGTT